TTCGGCTCCGGTCAGTCGGTCGGCGCGGAGCTGATGGGGTGGGGTGGGCGGGGGTAGTTTGGGGGGGAGGGGAGGCGGGAGCATTCGGCACCTTTAAAATTGAAAAAGAAAAAAAAAATTGTTCAATGTTGTAAGTTTTCAGTGCTGTTAATGACTAGGCTAAAACAAAACCACGCTGTTCCGCTTGGTAATCGTATTTATTCACGTTTTGATTTGTGTTTTTAATGGTGAAAGGTTGTGCTGTGTATAAAGCAGTGGCGGTCGAGTGTACTGATGGAGTTCTCCCTCTTTTGTATATTTTTTTTTGTTTTGTTTGTTTACAGATGTCCTTTGTTTCATTTACTTACTTGAATTTTCATTTCAGGCAGTTGTGTCATCCATTTAGGCCTTTTATGACTTCCTGAAACAGCTTTTCTTTTCATTTTTAAAAAGAAGCATTTTTATTCATTTTATTTTTTTTTTATCGTAGAATACTGCCTATCTTAGCATCAGCCAGAGTGAGCACTGTTTGCCTGTTGGAAACCCATTGTTCTTTCCCCACCTTTTCTGTTTTGGAGTCTCAGAGGAGCAGATTTCCATCATGTTTTCTCACGTTCTCATTCGCATGACGGGATGCGATGCTGGGTGGGAGCCCCAGATGAGCAGAGTCAGTCCTAACTCCTTGCAAGGATTTCTACCTCAGCTGCTTAAACAGATGTTTGGGAATACTGATGCAAAAAGAGACTTTGATTTAAAAACTAAAAATGCTCGATTTTAATAATCTCGTATGTGCGTGCGTGTGTGTGTTTGTGTGTATATATTGTTTTTCTTTTTTCTTCTTCTTTTTCTGTGTGCATGGAATGAAGGCTGCAGAAGCACTAGTTAAATGCAGAAGTTATGACCATCTCTCCCAGGATCTGTTAAGAAAGCTGTATGTTATATATACACACCTATATATATATATACATATATATATATATAAATATACATATATATAATAAATATATAAAATAGGGTTATTTTAAAGTGTAAAAGACAAATGGAAAAAATGTCCTCTTTAAATTTACGTCTTTGTTACCATGTACAAATAAACCCTGAGTTTGTAAATATTTGTATATACATTTCTAAACCTGTTTAATTTTCTATGCACTTTTTTTATTTATAATGTTACTTGCTTAATAAAGATGTTAAGATGTTTGAACATATTTTAATTGTTTATTGTAACAAGTCCGTATGATGCTGCAAAAACATAAAGGTAATGGAGTGAAAATGGTACATTGTTTTACTTTTATATATAAAATAACACTTTACATGTGCCTCTCGGTATGAAAAGATTCTCAGTACAAAACTAACAGTCAAGCATAAATGTATGAAAATACAAAGGTAAAAAAAAAAAAAAACAATTTCAGAAATCCTTCAACATTTTGGGAGGTATTGTCGTAAACCTTCATTAATACGCCTTAAAATAATGTTTTATTGCACAGATATAATCTCACTGAAAATGGCAACGCTCTCCCAATGAACACTGAAAACGGGGGCTCCAACAAGGCTCCCAGGGCCTTTGGAAGAGAAAAAGGCCCACACCATCACAGAACCTCCACCGTACTTAACAGTGGATGTTAAGTACGGTGATGTTCATCCTTTTTCATATTACTTCCAAATGTTTGTTGCTGGGAAAAAAAAAAAAGTGGCCCAATTAGTCTAACCAATGTCCGACAAACTCCACATTTACATTTGAAATGGTAGGACAGAAACGTTAGCCCCAGCTAACAACTGGACGAAACGTAGATACGCTCCTAAATGTGGCGTGGACTCTTTACTGGCAGTTCTCCAGCGGGAAACTTCAAAGTTGTTTTGCTTCATCATCTCTCCTAACATCCTGCCGAGTCTGTGTGTTCTCAAGATTTCCTCAGTTGCTAATATACCACAGTTCCAGTTGTTTTAGTGACTGTTTTGACTATGTCTGTGTCTGAGTACATTTCCCTGTACTTATGTAATTTACAAGGAACACACCATCCCTGCATAAACAGTGCGTTCTCTCAGAGTTGAAAGCGAGAGAAGTGGGCCTCTTTGCTGCATCACATTTGTATATCAGAGACGCACACTTCCTGGGTTATTATCGACTACTACAACTTAAAAAGTAAAGACTTCTCTTTAAAAAATGTCCTCCACTGACCGTGAGCTCAAATAAAAAGTTGGATTTAAAAAATACACATTATGACCATTCAAGGTTGTTCTCTTTTCTTTTTTTTTGGGTGGGGGGGGGGGGCGGTGTCATTCCCAGGCTTGCTTCCCAAGGAATGATGCATTCCTGTCCACTTGCAGCAACTTTAACCCCGCCAAAAGGCGGATGGACTTCTCTAGAATGTAGTCTGGACTTTTCGACATCCCATTAGCCGCGCGTTAGCATATATGACGCAGATGGGTGGGAGCTGTTCTTGTCAAAGTAACTCAAGTTGTGTTTGAGGCCATGCACTATTCCGTTTTTTTAAAAAAAAAACGTCGTCGACTCTGTGATTAGAAAGAAAAAAAGGATATGTCACTCATGTGAAGCTTTTTGGAGTAGGCCTAAGTTTTGCCAGAACGCTGATGGCATCATTGCGATTCATTTGTCTGAGCAGCTTGGCCAGGTGGCCCACCGTCCAGTCAGGCTGCTTGCTGGTGACCCCCTCCAACACAGCTTTCAGGGGGCTTTTAGTGTCCTTCATGGAGTAAGTGTAGGTGATCCAGGTGGAAGGGAAGGAGCAGTGAGACGCCAGATGCTTCGTGCTCTTTATGCCCTGCGTGTCTGGGTCCAGCAGAATCACCAACTCCTCCAAAACATCGAGATCATCCAGAACTTTGTGCAAAGGGGCTGACAGGATATCAGCATCTACAAAGAAAAAAAAAAAAAAAAAACCAGAAGGTATTGGCAAACTATTACTATGGTATGTTCTCTCTTGTTGTGTTGGTGTGCCTAAAAGACCGTCCAAGTGCTCGATTGTAACTCGGTTGGCTTCGTGTAACGCACCCGGAGACATTTTCACTCACTTAGCATGTCACACAGCACTTCGCTGTTTCTCTCTGCTTGGATGGGGGAAAATCCTTCATTCTGATACGACGTCCTTCTCTTGTCGAACACTTTTTTGCACACACCTGTGAAAAGCAAGAAGAGACGTGGCGGTTATTTTTTTTCTTTTGCAATGCTGGATTTTAACTAAGGCGGTTTACAAAACCAACGTTTCCGAGCAGAAGTTCATATCTGCTCATCACAGACGTGAATTTACATCATTTTCAGGCTTTTATCTAATTCACCATCATTCAGCATTTTTTTTTTTGTAGCTGTCAAAAACCAGCAACCAACAAACAGTCATAGTTGCTCGTAAATACTCATATTCTTTAGAAAAGAAAAAAAAATCATTATTCTAATCACTTTGTGCAATGCACCAGCGCTTCTGGCAGCAAAACCAACCCTCAGCATGATACTGCCGCTGTCAGCATGATACTGCCGCTGTCATAGGAACACTGACCTCTGGGTCAGTGTTCCTATGTTTGAAAGCCTGAAAAATAATTGTGGCCAAATAGCTCAATCTTTGTCTTGTCTGACTATAAAACGTATCTCCAGGCAGCATTTTAGGAAGCATTGATGAGGACAGTCGATGGTCAAGGCTCAAGCGCTTTCAACCCTGACAAAGTTCTGCAGTTTATCGAAACGCTGATATGCAACACCAGTGACTCGCATGATGCTTCAGATGTCGTGAAGGGCACCGACATGAGCTCAGCAGAGCGGTCAGACAAGACGCAGCTACAGTGCGTCTCACTGTAAGCTATGATGCAGTTATGAGTGTAATTATTAGGGTTAAAAGCTTGAGTAGCCATCTTCATTACTTTTTTTTTTTTTACTTTCGTTTATTTCATTATGGTAGCAATTAAAAAACTTCAGCGCTGCAGTTAGTTGGAACAGTGGCGTTCAGTTGTTAAACACTGGGAGATTTCTGGAAACATGCTGCCTTGTAATAGTTGAGATTTGCGTCATTTTGAAAGTCATAGGCTGATGAATTCTAATCTCTTTCCAGCTAACAAGATGATTGTTTCTGGAGAAGGCAACAAGAAACAATGTGGTAATTCAGTTCCCATTTTACCTTTACCACAAGGGCTTGCTCACATAGGAAGCTGAAAGTTTCATTCAAGCAACGAAATGTTGATTTATTAGAAGGGGCTTCCTGAATTAAATGCGTGGTTTCAGCCAAAACAAGCACTCATGCACGCAGCCTGAGGCTTGTGTATTTTCCGCAAAAATCCAACTGAGCCTCAACTAGAAAAGGAAGATTTGCCCAGATGTTCATCATGAACCCTGTGCATGCGATTTTGGGATCAAAAAGGGTGGATTTTTGATACACTTTTTTTTTAACCAGGAAGACCGGTTTAAAGAAGTCAAAAATCATCAAAAACCCAAATATCCACGAATATCCATGAAGAAAGTTAGTAACTCGCATTTGCATACCTCTTCGTTTTTTCATCATCAAAGCACAAAGAGCAGCAACCAGAAAGATGATAAGAAGTATCACTATTATTGGTACAGTCCCTTGAAAGAAGAACAGAGAGAATTTAAAGTCACATTTTGGCAACAGAAAATGGGATTTGGAGACTCCAGTTTATGTCACTTACACGGAGCTGCATGCTGCGAACTCGATGAGGCAGTTATGTATGCATGAGTCTGAGAAAAAGGGGAAAGAGAAGTTTTCAATATCACCAAAATAACCATTGCTAATTTATATTCCCACAAGGCAGATGCGTCATAATTTCGTAGTTGTCATAAATAGATAGAAAACCAGAAAATGCGACAGTAATGACCGTTTGTCGTGCAAGTGAATCGTTTACTGAAAGGGGGGATTCAGACTAAACAGCATGTGCTCCTCCATTCCTGCCTGTTTTTGCCCCGGAGTCAAAAAAGGTGGTTCTAATTTACAGTTCATTCCTGAGAAGCGACGCGAAGCTTTTCCCATTCCTTAAAAGGCGAAGCTGATTAAAAAGCAGATTAAAGCGGGGGGGGGGGGGGCCATTAAATGTTCAAGAGTTAAACTTCCCTTTTTCCTGTTTCTTAGCTGGATCATAACCTTACAGGGTGATTTCAAAACCCCCGTTTCTAATTTACAGATTCCAAAAGTCGGGCAACTTCGTGCAACACGTGAAGCAACTCTCAGAAGCAATGACTCTATTGTTTGGGTTGATCAACAAAAAACATTGGGCTGGTTTTCGCTCCGTTTTTGTAGAAATATATATATATATATAAACAAGTTTTCCTTCAAGTTTTGATTTAAAATTGAATGCGCAGGATATACCATAAAACGTTTTGAGCGAATGTTTTCTCTATTTCATTCTAATATCCTAAAAGGAAATTAATCTGCTGCTTTAAATGTCAACATTTTGCATACATCATTATATCTTACGCAGAAAGATGCGTAAAAGTAACACATTGCATGGAAACCTAAATAAAACTTCACCACAAACAGTCACGTCGCTGGGGATTTTTTTTCTCAAACATGTGGGCATATTTCCTACTTATTTCCTGCACAAACCAAAATAAGCTGCAGATAAAGTGACGATCGGAAAAATTACCGTTGCCGCAGTGCTGAATGATGTTGCTGCATGGGTGGTTGTAGATTTCTAAGGAAGAAGCAAAAGTTGATGCGATGCACGATAGAGACAAAGTAAGTCAAAGTGAAGCAAAGATAACGGGACTCACAGGGAGGGCGGTTGTTGTCGACTCATTTCTTCAGTAATGCAGAAGCAGAGGAAGACAAAAAAAAAAAAAAAAAGCTTTTATTTACTCTGCGGCAAGTTTCACACCGAAAAATCCACTTCGTTGAAAACAGATGATTGTAATCCAAACACAAAAATGCAAAGAAGATGCAGTTTTCCTGACAAACAGCTCTGCGGATCGTAGTTTTCTTACCTTATTTCCTGACAAATAGTGTCGGATACTGAAGTGCAGTTTTTCACCACAAGAGTGCCAGGAGGACACGCAGAACATTCTTGACAGTAATACTGGCTGCCGTCGTTAAAAGTGTTGGGTTTGCAATCCTTGTGACTGTTCGAGTGATACCCATCCTCATCGTCGCGTCCACAATTAGGTTGAACTTCAGATCCTGCATAATATAATATAATATAATATAATATAATATAATATAATATAATATAATATAATATATGCATACCAGCTTTTTTTTCACACGGCTCACAACGATTCGTTGATTTGTCCCAGAAGGTAGTTAGATTTCTGCAGTTGTTTGAGTACCCCATCTTCTCCACTCTGTTTCACATGATGCGTGATGATGAAACGTAATCCTTTATAGTCGAAGGCGGAGCCTTTTTTATTCCCATAAAGAACCCGGATGCGTAAAGTCTCACACTTCAACTGTGAGGTGTGAGACACCATAGAAATAAGACACCCTTTTCCCCGACTGTTTATTATTAAATTCTTATTTTAGGTCAGTCAAGACAACCAAAATTATTTATATTTGCTAAAAGGAAGAATAATACTACACTGTAAAAAAAAAAAAAAAAAAAAGTCAGTATTTACGGTAAAAAAAACGTAAATACTGTTTTTTACCGTAAAAACAGTATTTTTTTTTACGGTAAAAAAATACCGTAAAAAAATACGGTAGGATTCAAGAACAATTTTAGTGTTATCCAAAAGCATAAAAATTGTGAAGTCGCCCTTCATTGAAGTTTCACAAATCCCACACTTGGTTTTAAATATTGTGCTATTAGTAGAGAATAGTCTAGACAGTTTTTCATTTTGTTATTGTCATAAATAGCAAGGTTTACAGTAAATGGAGACTGTTATTTGTCATGTAAACAAATAATTATCTAGTTTGTATTGCTGCTTGATCCTTCAGCATCAGCAGCAAGATTATTTTATGAACTCTGTTCCTGTAGTTGAGCGTGGCTCAGGATACTGTGGTGTCCTGAACTCAACACAGTAAAGTCACAGTGCGCTAGCTAAGGCTGCTAACTAGCAGGAAGGAAATGTGTAATTTCTGAGCCATGCTGTTTATGTACTTGCACTGCAGCTAGACATTTCTGCAATATGGAACATTCAATTTTCCCAAACGCAACACTTTCATTAATGTTTCTGTAGGAACGACTGCATAGATGTATTTATATTTCTGGTCTACTTTAGACTGTATGTGCTTAAAGTTATTGTTAATGGTAGAAACTACTTTTTCAAGTTTGATTCAGTAATTAATTTGAATTACTTTGAGTGTGAAATGTTCATGCATGCAAGTTAAATCTGAAGAACATGTTAGCTTTTGTTTCAATACTGTGGTAATACTTGGAAGTATAAAGCTTGGCATCAGAGCTAATATTTAATATTTTCCTTTGACCTCTTGACTCTCACCCCCAAAATACTTGCATTAAAATCACTGGGTCCATGACAGTTGAAGGGTTTTAAGATGAGGAAATTTAAATATTAATATTTTACAGTTTTTCTCAGTTTGGGTGCATTTCTCAGAACAGATTTGAAATTCTTAAAACTACCTGTTCAATCTTCAAATTACTGTCACTTCTGCACATCAAAACATGAGTTGCTCATTCCTTTTGCAAGTTTTGCTTTCACATCATGTAACTGATTATGTACACTTCTCTGCTTTTCCCCCGTTGTAATTTGCTTTAATCGTGTTGATCAAAATATGTTAAACGTGTCTGTGTTGAATTCTCAACTTCAAAAACGGCATAAGTTCATTGTGTAAGTCTTAACATGCATAAGTCTTAAAGTTGTCATAATGTCAATCATATTTTAATTAATTTATAATTGATTCTTTTCTAAATCTGTCCTGAATTGGTAAATTGCTCCCAAGTGAGTCCTGAGTTTCTCTAACAGGTCAATGTATGAACCATTAGCTCAACCAACGATCAACCAGTTTTCTGAAAACAGATTGAATGTTACATTTCTGAGAACTGATGAACAAGTATCTGGACAGAGTGAACAGCCAGAGAGAAGAAGAAGAGTGAGGCTGAGGAGGAAACAGT